CCACGGCTGCTTTGCTGAGACATCCTGGGTGAGTTTCCTGCTTTGCAAAATGGAGGTACCAAGGCCCGCCTCGTGGGAATGTCACAAAAACTAGCCGAATATGTGTCAATCGCTTGGCCTTGGTAAATGTCCAGCAAGCCGTAGATGGTCCTCTTCTCCTTCCAGCCAGAACTTGCAGAGCAGCATAATCTCATCCTGTATCATTCATTCCTCCATTCATTCAGCAAGTCTCCATGAGTTCCTGCTACGGTTCAGAACCCGGGAACCCAGTGCTAAGTAAAGCAACAGGGCGGCTCCAACAGGGCTTGTAACCTGGTGCGGGACCCAGCCGGCCGTCAGAGAGTCACACGGATGTAAAAGACCAGCTGGGACGGGCACCCATGTTGCCGGAGAGCCCATACTTGAGGGACTTGATGGGGCTGGTGGGGCCACGTGAGGCTTCCCCACGCCAGTGATGCTCCAGAGAAACCTGAGGGGTGCTGAGGGGCGGGGCGAGGCCAAGGGGCATCCAGCCCCTGGAGGAAAGCCAGGGTGCCCGGGAGAGTGGGGGTAGAGGGGGCACAGGTGAGCTCTGGGGAATGGGCAAATGAGGGCGCTGGGAAGCTCTGAGCTGAGGTCGGGGAAGGGAAGCCATCAGGACGTAAGCAGCCACTTATGTCCGGAACATTCTACCCCCGTCCACCCCAGCTGCCAGAGGGGAGTCCCCATGCTCCCTATTCATTACCTGACATAACTAATTGCCTGGTGACATTTCCCATATTATAGACAAATGTGAATTATGGGCCCAGCTGTTCCCCTTCTCGTCACCAGGAATCGGTTGATAAATATGTTTATTCGAGGTCAGCCTGGCCTCATCCATTAGAAATATTGTTTTTCTAAACATTACATTGATTTAATTTAACTCTAATCAATTTAAAATGGTTCTGACAATTAACAAAAGCTTCAAATATGACCTTAAAGTAATAGGATTCATTAGCTATGTTTAGGATTAAACTTACCCTAATAGGGCAATTTTTCTTCCGAGGGTATTTGGTAAGCGACTAGTGGTCAGTCAAAATGAAATCAATTATTATAAATTATACAGTTAAAGTTGATTATGTATCCCCTGCTAATTTGTATAAATAAGGGTCTCTGACAATGGGAGTAATTTATTAATAACTATCTCTACCCTAGCCCGGTATCACACTTCATGTAACAGCTGCCAGGGCATCTGTAACCCATGAAGTATTATTTTCCGGGCTGCTCTCAATGTATGCTAATTAAACCCATAATTAATTGGAATAGTTATAGTTAAAGACACAATGCTGGCGCCCTTTGCCCTATTATTCATGACAGTCAACTCATTCAAAAGGCAATCTGATCAAAAATTCATACACCAGCTCAGGCGCTCCAAAGGAAGGCGATCCTGCTACAGAGGGCCTGTGATGGGACAGCTGCTGAGCTGGGGGCGGGCCCAGATGCAGGCAGAATTTGAGCCCCGAGAGTTTCGGGGTCTCCCACCCCACCACCACCAACCAATGCCCCGTACGGAAGGGATGTAGACTCAGAGAGACAGAACAGAGGGACCAGTACAGAATGTCTAGGCCAGAGCTCACGAATTGGTGGCCCACACGGTGTTTAAAAACAAACAAACAAAAAATGTGATTTCCGCCAGAATTTTACACATTGGGAGATCTCACTTTTCTTGGAAAACCCTGACTTTGAAAAGTCTGAATACACGGTCTGCTTCCCCTCCTCGCTTCCCCACACCAACTCTCTTCCTTCCCTTCTGTTACCTGCCTGGCCCCTCCAGGCAGGGGAGCCTGAGAGCACCTCCTCACTTTATAGGTGGGGAAACTGAGGCCCAGAGAGAGACAGTCTCGCCAAGGAGCACATGGTGACCAGGCTCCAAGTAGTCCAGGTGTGGCTGGTTTCACAGAGCACCTAGGCCAAGTTGGGGGCTGAGGGGAGGTGGCCCTGTCGGTGAGTGGACCCTCTCCCTGCTGTAGAGCGGGTGAGGCCTGGCGAGCGGAGACTGTGCCGAACTCGAGGCTGAAATGTAGGGGTGAGGAGGGACCAACACCATTGTGGTGGGTGTTTCAGCTGGCAACAACAGGCTGAGGCCAGCTCATCCCAGATTCTTTGGTTGGGCAGGGGAAATGCTTCCCTACCCTACGTGGGATCTCTGAGGTCTGTGGGTGAAGGAGGGGACCAGAAGAGAAAAGTCCTGACAACTGAAATAGCATGTGCACAAAGGAACATTCAGCTTGGAAACGCCCTTGAAAAATGACCTTTATGTGGATCATTCAATCTCCCAATGGACACGGAATGCCCCTGGTTGGGGCCTCTCATGGTGGATGCTGATGAGACAGAGACAACATGGCTTTCGCCTCCTTGTGGCCCCACTACCGGAGCCGCCAGGTAAGTGTAAGGCAGTGTGGAAGTCCAGGGAGTCTTGGGGTGTCTGGGGGAGGAGTTCCTCGGGGATACGGACAGGCTGTTTGAGACCTAGAGGTGAGCCCGGGCCTTCCTCTGCACTCAGGAAAGTGAGAGTAGCATTTCTACAGGGAAAGCCTTGAACCCTTCCTGTGCGAGCCTGAGGCAGGAGGTGCAGCTTGGTGAGGAGGAGAGGTAGGGAGGAGCAGGTCTGAGGCCCAGAAGGCCGAGTTAGCGAGGGCACGGGGAAGCCGCGGACCACTGGGCAAACCCGGAGCTGGAGACGGACACCCGGGCTGCGGAGGGAGCGTCTGAGGCCACCGCTGTCAGGCTTTGGAATCCCTACACCCAAAAAGGCCAAGGAAGGTCAGAGTTTGGGCCACCCCACCCCCTGCCACTTAGGGACAGCCCAGCATGCGTCACAGGAGCAGGTCCATCTCCACCGAGGAGAGCCTGCAGGGCGCAGGACCACGCACCAGCCCCGCTCAGCTCAGCACCTGTGGGCTGCTCTGCAAACAACGCCCCCAGGAGTGGAAGGGCCCAGACCACCAGGCCCTTCCTCCTTAGGCTGTAGGTTGCAGGGTCTCCAGCTTTAAAATAAAGGCTTGGACCCAATCTCCACCGCTCCAATGAGCCAGGCCCCTGAGGCTGATGGCACTGCAGAAAAGGCCTGGATCCTTTTCTCCTCCTGCACTGGGTGTGGGTTTTAAAAAGAAACGGAGGGGACACACACACACACATGCACACACACACACACACAGACCTTGAGCTGGAGGTAACGAATCAAAGTTACTGAACTTCAATGCAAAAAGAAAGTGGTCAAAAGTAAAATCAAAGTGCTTGCTTAAAATATTGTATGTAAGTTATACCTCAGTGAAGCTGGTGTTGAGATAAACTGAGGCGCATTAAAATTTTCAAGAGTTTATCTGAGCATACACCGATTGGAACCAGGCAGCGCCAAACCAAAGGTGGTTAGGAGCCTCCATGGACTTAGGGGAGAGGTTTTTATGGAGAAGTCGGGAGGCGAAGCAAGGACGTGACTCGGTTGGTCACAGCTGCAGCAGCCGCCTTATTTGGCAAAGCCCGGTTGGCTGTTTGTGATTGGTTGTTCTTCAGTTTCATTGTCTTGGATTTGAGGGCCTGACTCTGGCTTGGGTTCTGGTTGATGATTTAGGCCACCGTGGCATTAGAGCCTCCCTAGTCCAATGGCCTCGTTGTTTAATTACTTTAACATTGGTTTGAAAATAAAGGAGGGAGTGCAAATTGGAAACCTCTTTGGAAAACGGTGCAGCAGTGTCCACAAAAGTTAAACCTGCGCCTCTCCTGGGACCCAGCAGATCTGCCTCCGGGTGTTCCTGGGAAAAGGGCTTCTGAGTGGGCACCAAAACACCAGCCCCAGAAGGCTCACAGCAGCGTTTCTCATAACAGCCCCCAGCTGGAAACAACCCAAACCTCCATCAGCAGGAGAACCAATAACAAATCACGGTGTATTCACAGAATAGAGCACCACACAGCAGTGAAATAGGACTACTAATGGACACCGGTGGGTGAAAATCACGGACACGATGTTGGTGCACAGCACCTGTGTCTCCCTTTACGTCAAGTGCAAAACCTGCAAAATGAGTCCATGGTGACCGAAGTCAAAATAGTGGGTATCCGTGGGGGGAGCAGGGGGACCTGACGGGGCAGAGCAAAAGGGGCCTGCCAGGTGCTGGAAAAGTCCCCGGAGTTGTCTGGGGAGTACGGACATGTAAAATTCCTGGGGCCCTACACAGAAGACAAGTGTCCTTACATCGGGTACCTCCCAATCAGGAAGAGAGACAGGCCGAAGGCCCACGCAGACCCGCCCAGGGTGCTCTGGGCGGGCAGCAGTGCATCCTCCAGACTCTGGCACAGGTCGGAGGCCGGGGCTCCTGCCCATGGCTCTGTGGTGGGCTGCGGTTCCCTAAACATGACCCCAGCGCAGCGCTGCCGGGCACAGTCACTCCTCCCAGGCAGGGGTGATGGCATGCTCTCTGCACGTGGGCCAGAGGACGGCTCTGAACGCCCATTCACACTGACAGATCAGACTGGGCCCTTACCTGGTGGACAGCAGTGACCCTGCCAAGGGCTTCCTGCCGGAGGGGCACCTGGGTGGAGCAGGGCCCTGCAGGCATGTCCAGAAAGACAGCAGAAGCAAGTGAGACCCGAGGGAACCGTCTTGGGCCGAACTCCCCCTACCCCACCCCCATTTTAGAGTCCACGCCAGGCCTCTGGAGCCAGGTGGCCCTGAATTCAAGTCCCACCGGTTCTGCCTGGGCTCAGTTTCCTCATCTGGGAACTGGGGACAAGATTCTTATAAGAATGAGCGAGCACATATAAAAGCACCTAACCCAGGGCCTGACGGTCACCAAATAGGGAAACTGAGACCCAGGCAGCAGATGGACACGCCTCGCCCAGGGCGCAGCCACATCTCGCGCCTGTCGGCCCCAGGGCTGCAGAGCTCTGTGCCTTCTCCTCCAGCCCCACTCCCCAGGCCATCCTACCACCAGCAGGAGCACGTGCAGTCCCGTGTTCCTTCCTGTCCCCTGCTCTGGGCATCCAAGACACACAGTCCTACCCACCAGTGCCCTTCGTGTTGACCCGGACCACCTCGCCTCTCACGGCTCCCTCCCCGCCTCCCCAGCGCTCCTTGGTCAGGAGGCCCCCATCCAGCACCCCCAGCACCCGAGGCTGAGAAGGGAGTGACATTTGGTGGGGGCGCTCCCCATATTCTCTCCCTCCATCCTCTGGAAGAAGCAGGCAGAGGGCTGGGTGCTCATGGCCCCCCGCGAGGGACCCGTTGCCTGCTGCTCTGGTCCCACCGACCGGAAAGGCGGGCTCAGATTTCAGAGAGCACCGCAGTAGAAGTCTGCTTAGCCTCGAACTCCAGCCAAACCCCTAGCTCCTTTGGCCTCAGCTTCTCTGAACGGGTCCACTCTGCGTGTTCAGAGGGTAAGGATGAAGGGTGTAGAGTGTCTTCTGGCGGCTACTGGAAGGATTGACCACCGAGCAGAGAGTGGAGCAGATATGTCCAGAGTGTGATCCCGGCCGAGTCTGTTTGACACCAAACCACAGGGGACACAGTCCTCCTCTTCCTTTGCCACCTCACGCCTGAAGGCTGCTCGGCTGCCTCGGTCTCCCCAGTGTGATCCTGACGGTTTATGCTGCCCCTTCAAGACCCCCTCACAGAGAATGGTCCTCCTGGTCTGGGAACAGCTTCTGTGTGGATCCGGCCACTGGCAGCCCCCAGGCCCCCGCCAGCCCACCCTTCCTGTGATGTGGTGACTCCTGGCGGCCTCGCCCTCCAGTCCCAGCTACAATTCCCCCCTCCCTGGGCTCATAAAAGCCCTCTGGTCTCCGCGGCCATCCAGCCTTCCTTCCCTTTTCCCAGAAGTGGTCTTTTCTCCCCAGGACTGCCAGGAGATGAGTGTCATCTGCCTCCAAAGCCGGTAGAAATGCCTGGGTCTTTTTCGTGCTCAGTGACCTCCAGAATTGCCCCTCCAAACCCCAGTGTCCTAACAGCGTTTGATTTACGCTCACAAACCTTCTCACGTCCCCATCTCCTTCCACTAAATGGCCCTGCCCCGCCACCCTCCCTGCACATCCCGTCATTCAGTCAACCACAGGGTTCCATGTGGATGATACTGACAAGGGAAAACACAAAACCGGAAAAGTCATCTGCAGTCACTGTAACCTACATAGACCAGTGCAGTCGCTGCTAACAAACTTTTCAGTGCCCTCAGACAAATCTTTCTACAAACAAAATTAGATCTATTCTGATACATGTTTTTATTACCCACTTTTTTCTCCTAATATATTGTGGACCTTTGCTCACGTCATTAACAAATGACGTTCTGGAAGGATCTTTAATGGCTGTCAAGGACTCCATAGTCTAGCCTATACCATAAATTGATCAAAGTGCGGCTCGTTTACGTTTGTCAAGTTTGGCCACATTATAGACAATGCTGCCTGCAGTCTCATGGCTAACCGTGGGCCCCCTGCGATCATCATGTCCTAGCGATAGAATGCCCGGTCTAAGGTATACAGCCATTAAGGCTCTTGAAAAATAAGCACACGTGAATTGAACACCCACATGATTCCCAATTTGCGTGTAATTGTTTAGGGTCAGGGGGCTGAGGAAGAACCAAAGCAAGGGAAGTCAGGGGTCTGAGGAGGGGTCTGTGCACACGCCGGACCCAAACACCATTGAAGGGCAACAGGGGAGAGGGGCTTAGAAAGCAGCAGGGCCCCTGAATGTCAGAGGGCGGTAGAGACCCGGGTCGGATCCCCCTGTGTTAGGGGTGGAGATACCGAGGCTCAGAGAGAAGCCCCCAGGAAGGCGGCGACCTCCAGGTCTGGAATCTTTCCCGCACAGCCCCAAGCCCTCTTTAGAGTGAGCCCTGCTCAGGAGGAACAGGCCGTGCGTGGTGGCAGGTTGGGCCTCGGTAAGGGAGAGTGAACCACTCCAAGCAGGGCAGGAGCAGGAGAGAATGGCTGAGAGCAGCAACCAACGTGAGCACCTGTGATGTGCTGGGCGCAGGTCCAAGGGATCTGTCATCACTTAGTCCCCACTGCGAAATGAGCGAAGGTGGGAACTAGGGCTTTGTGAGAGATTCCTGCTCTCAAATGCACAAAAAGTGGTTTATGCAAGCCTTAATCCAAACGCAAACTCTTTCTAGATTTTGCTGAAAGAAACAAGTCTTTTCCACAGCGGCGGGGACTAAAGCAGTGGTTCTCAAACTTCAGTGTGTGTAAGAAACACTTGGTCGGGGGAGGGGGAGGTGTTCAAAGTGCAGATTCCAGGGCCGCGGCTCTCAGAGTTTGCTTCCCTACGTTTTGTGTGGGGCCTCTGAGCCTGCATTCTTCAAGTCCCCTGATGACTCGCATGCCGGTGTTCCACAGACCACTTTTGAGGAGACATTGATGAGTGTGGTTGATTTTCATACCGAGACCCCAACAACTTTTACAGTAGATCTCAGGCTCACACTGACAGTCTTTTCCGCACCCCGTTCCCCACAGAAGAATGTTTCTAATAAAGGGAGAAACGCGCACCAATTAAGGGGCTCCCCCTCGGGATCCTATCACTCGCTGACTTTCTTCCCCTGCAGCTACAGATTTGTAATTCATTCCTCTGCAAACGTCCCAGACCTCACATCTGACCTTACAGCGTTTGCCCAGTAGGTGGCACTCACTCATCTTAAATACCACTTGTAAAAGGAGGCTGAAAGCTCAAGATAGATGGAGACAGAGAAAGGGCAGGACAGAGCCAGTGAGAGAGGACAGTCACAAGCAGCAATGTCCACCGCTAACCAGCTGAAATGATACAGGGGAAGCTTAAACCCTCCTGGGTGTAATTTGTAGTCTAGTGTGTCGCCCTGACGAATTGCAACATTTGTTTGGAAAATCACCTGCTCCTTCCCAACCACGGGAACTGCTTTGGCTACTGGAAGCTAGCTGGAAGTTAAGATCTGGGACTTGCCATAACCCATTATGGCCACACGATGGCGCTGCTGCTCCAGAGCGAGAAGATGCTTAAGAATTTAAATCTTACGAAACAGTCTAAAACTTAAGAGTATGACCTGAAAATAAGATTGTGAAGTGGAAAGAGAGGTGGAAAGAGACATGTTGATCAGACTTGCAACCTGTGCTTCTAGTTCGTGATTATAACACCAGAACTACTGCTGCTGCTCCTAGCGGCCACCCTTTACCGAGGGGTTACTGAGTGCCAGGCTGTGATGAGCAGTTTACAAACACAGTCTCGTTTCAAGCTCATGGAGCCTTGTGAAGAAGTCTACGACGTCTCCACTTCTGAGAGGAAGCATTATGTGGGGAGCCAGAGGCTGGGTCTCTTGTGCTTTCTCAAAGGAAATGAGGACAATGACCTAATTCTGGCCACATCAACAATAGTGAATGGAGTGGCTTCTGTGCATAAAAGCCTAAAAGTTCCTTCTTTCATTCAGCCAAGATTTGAGCATCTACTTAGTGCCAGGCACTGTTCAAGGCGCTAAGGAGAGAGAACTGAAGGAACCAGAGCAAGTCCCTGCTTCTAGTGCAGAGACCACCATACGCCTTAGGTCTGGGGCAGAAAAGGAGGAAGATGGGGGCCGGAAAGTGCCTGCAGGTGCCTTTTGGGGGAGGTCAGTGGCCCACCGGAGTTGGCTCCCACCAGCTCACAAGAGCAATTGTTAACCTTTCAGGAATTGTGCGAGCCAGTTCTTAAGTACAGTAAATTATGTAAATTTACAATTAAATGTTATATTTAAAAATTATAATTAAATCTAATTAAATGTTATATTTAAAACAAGCGTAATAAATACTCAAAACTCCTCACTTTCGAATTATTTTACATTTTACGGTTATCGATGCTGAAGGTGAGCAGACTTTTTCTGTGAAGGACGAGAGAGGGACTATTTTAGGCCGTGCAGGCCACGTGGTTTCTGTCGCAGCTGCTCGGCTCTGCCGTGATAGCACAGAAGCAGCCGTAGGTGGGCAGCGTGCGTGGACGTGACTGTTCCAACAAATGTTATTTACAAAGACAGGCAGTGGGCTAGGTCTGGCCCGCGGGCCGTAGTTTGCGGACCCCTGGTCTCTGCTCAGGTAGTTCTCTCTGTCGTCCCCGTGCAGTGGAAATGCTGAACGCTTGTGTGTAATCCTACCTCCACCTCTTCCCAAATCCACCTTCAGTGACGTCACACAGGTAGCTAGCAGGCCGCCACAGTGAGAGTATTTACCCCACAAAATTGGCAAACGCGACAGATCGGGGCTCTTTTCCCCTGGACGGCTGGTGGCTAAACATTTGCTGACACATCACGGGCTAATGTGGTCTGTGAAGGCATCTTTGAGGAGGTGACCTCCGAAGAGAAACCTGAAACTGCACTTAGTGTCTCCATCCTGCTGCCCATCTCACCCACAAGGGGCGACCTACAGGGCGCGGTTTGGAAATGTCTGAACAAAACAGTCTAAAGTTTGCCGAGATGGCCAGAAAGAGCAAAGTGCACATTTGTTTAAAATATAGAGATTCCAATACCCTCACTCCACCACGGCCACTCTACGGAGCAGCCCGGCCTCTCGTGAGCCATTTAGAATGCACAGCTGAGAAGCCACGCGTCGGGGCCATGGCCTGACCTCTTTTATTCCACAGGCTGGTGAGACCCTGCCCGCCACCAAATCCCGCAAAATTAGACCTTAGAGGTCCCATTCGATGTCTCACAAAGTAGGAGGGATGGAGGAGAGGGACTCAGGGAGGCGGCACTGGCAAAGTCAACTTCCACGCCAACTCTTTAAACCCGAGCGCAACCTCAAACTACTTTGGAAAAGGCAATATGTAAAAAGACTTGGGTGTCATTCGTAAGGTGATGATTTGATGCGTGAAATTTAAGAGCTTTCATAAACTCCTGGAAAGTTGGCAAGGTCAAAGTGGTGGACATAACTTGAAATATCAGCTGTGCTTTTGTGATGAAGGTCACCGCTGGATGAATCACTCTATTTTTATGATGTCCAGTTCAATCTGTGCTCACCTAATCACTTTAATTAGACCTCCGAAACTACTCCTTCTCCAATAAAATTCAGCTCTGCAAACAGTCCTCCACAGTCGGCAGCTCACACAGACCTGAGGGTCCACAGTCCAGGCTGAAGGCTGCCCAGAACACTGAGTCCCTTCCTGAGAGCTCTCTACCTTCTTACCTCGTCAACCTGGTGGTTTTCCTTTCCTGTTTATGACATCTAAGTTTATACAATCTTTGGACTATTTCCTGAACAAAGAGAATAGCATCTTCATCACACCCTTTAAGGATATCTTCCTTCAAGTCCTCTTCAGAAGTAGTGAAATTCGTCCTGCTTGCAGATCTCTTCTCCTGCCTCCAGATCACGTCCAACGTATATTTCCAAGGCTCTTTCTCAAGAGCCCGGGCCAGGAGGTTTAGAGCAGATTTTCTACTTCCCCTTTGGAGCTTGTCCAAGTCCACAATCCTCTGTCTTTCACCAGAGCAGAAAGTTCCACTAGGAATGACAAGTAGATTGTGTGTCCCTCAGAAAACCCCATTCCTCCTGACAAGTGGCCCCCAGTCCTGGCTGCACGTTGGGCCGATGTACCAAGCTTTGTAAATACCAAGCGCCTGGCTCTGCCTGCAGAGCTTCCAGCAGGTTTGGGTGGGCACAGGCTTTAGGATCCTTCAAGTCTCCACACGTGAATTCAACGTGCAGCCAGGATGGAGAAGGGCCCTTCCAGGCAGTACATGCGTTCTTCAGGTTTTAATGAGGGACGACGTGCCTCAGTGAGTCAGGAAAAGAGCAGCGAGCCAGGCCAGGCAAAGAGGCTCAGCGCTGGGCCAACGGCTCCTCTGCCAGCCGGTCAGCTCTCCTCTGACGAGGACTCATTCTCACTTGTCTACTGTAACTGTCACACTAATATGCCCACAGGGAGTCAGAAAGAACGGGATCTATGAAAAAGCATGCATTGAGTCTGACCAAGGGAAAGTCAGAGTGGAGTTAGCATGACATAGTTTCTTTCTCACCAATGTGTTCATTCCACTGTGGATTTCTGAAACAGGAGAGTTCTTGAATGTGCTATTAATACCAATATTACCAACACAGACCATTCTAGCTTTCCTACTTTGGCATAAGAAGTGACTTAAGGGCCAGCCCAGTGGCGTAGTGGTTAAGTTTGCACGCTCTGCTTTGGCAGCCTGGGGTTCGTGGGTTCAATCACAGGGGTGGACCTACACACTCCTTGTCAAGCCACACTGTGGTGGCATCCCACATACAAAATGGAGGAAGATGGGCACAGATGTTAGCTCAGGGCCAATCTTCCTCATCAAAAAAAAAGAAGTGACAAACTCCAAGTAATTCCTGAGCAAGACTTGCTACATCAGTTATCTAAAAGTAAAACTTCTATATAAAAGCCCATATAGCATCACGTAATCATTTCTCTGGATTATACAGAAAAGTAAGGCATTTAATTGCCGCCTTGGCCGCTATGGGGGACCAGGACACACTATTCTATAGTACATAGCTTTCGGCCCATGTTCGGAGATGATGAAATGACGCACAGGAGGAACAATTTCTGGTTGGAGTGGCTTAGAGACTGGAGGACCTGAGCTTTAATGAGGATAAGAGCTTGGAAATGCCAAGCTACTTCAAGAAACTACACAGAGTCATGATGCCAGGGGGCAACCCCGAGACCACTGGCACATCTCCCAGAACAAGGCAAGTCTGAGGTTTTCTAAAACAATCACAGGGCCGGCCCCGTGGCTTAGTGGTTAAGTGCGCGCGCTCCGCTGCTGGCGGCCCGGGTTGGGATCCGGGCGCGCACTGACCCACCGCTTCTCCGGCCACGCTGAGGCCGTGTCCCACATACAGCAACTAGAAGAATGTGCAGCTATGACATACAACTATCTACTGGGGCTTTGGGGGGAAAATAAATAAATAAATAAAATCTTTAAAAAAAAAAAAAAAAGTTTGTAAAACAATCACAATGAGGGCAGAGACTTGACAAAGAAACAGGTGTGTCCGTACAGCATTTTCCTAAAGGAACCTTCTTTCCTGGCACCACTGCAAAAATTTAACAAGTTGTTCTCAATTCCAGTTTTCCCACAACCCAAAACCCTTCCCCAAAGAAATCAAGGAAAAAGAACCATAAAAATTTAATTTTAATGATACAGAAATAGTATATAGTACATTTCTTTCCACAGCAGCACTTCATTCATCTCTAAAAAATTTAACAAAATTAAGGCTAAATCAGAGCAATCTGATAGTAAAGGGGTATTTTATATGGTGTTATTTTTAAAGAATGTCTTCATAAATATAGGATGTTCATCAGGCAAAAAACTAAAAAGAAATGTTGAACAAGATACCAGACATGGGAAATGCAGTACAAAATGTGCTCCCTTACACCAATTTACTAATAACCACGGCTTCCTGGGGAAGTTTCAAATGGGATTTTTTAAAAAAAATGAACGTTTATGACAGGATGCTAAGACTTTCTGGAGTTAAAATCCCACAGTACTATAGGCCATTTATTTTAGAAAATAAAACCAAGGACAGCTGAGTCTCCCACACAATCTCTCTAGAAAAAATAAAAAGCAAAAGCGGACAGTTAAGGGCAAGAGAATGAGATCTGAAGATTTGGTGCTTGAAAGGCAGAGCCCTCCGTAACTGGCTTCCCCCCGACCTGTATGACAGACAGCCTTAAAATACGGTGAAACAAGATGGCACCCTGCCAAGACGGACTCTTGAGTGGCCGGCTACAAATGCTGAGGTTTTCCAGGACCAGGAGGAAGGACTAGCTTTCTTCCCCGCTTCTTCGTTGCCCTTGGCCACATCTGCTGGGTAGCTTTTCCCCACTGCTTTCTGACTCGAGAGAGACCCTGTGGCTGCTCCAGGATTTAGAATAAGATAGTCTTGTTCTCTCTCTTTACCCTCCAATCAAGCGTCTGAAAGGGAAATAGACAAGTCCAGTTCTAACTCCCCGCAGGCAGCCTCAAGCTCTAAGATCCTGGTCTCTGACCAGGCACACGACCCCGGGGGCATACAGAGGCCACGGCCGCTTTGAGGGTTCCGCCTTCTCCCCTCCACCCTCTCCTGCACACCTGCTTCCATTTTAATGTGCTCTCTCCTCCTCCACCCCCGCCTGTCCTGGGGAATTCAAGTATTATTTCCACTGAAGGGGAACCATGGGTGTGTTGTTAACATCACCACCCCCTAGGGAAGGTGCTCTCATTTTTAACTGTAAGCCTTATAGTTCTACTTTCACAAGGACATTTTACTTTATGACAAGAGAATGTGTAACCCCAGCTGAGAATCTTCTCATAGAATGTTAAAATTTTCATCATAAAGTAGCAGATGCTAAGAAATAATGGAAGCTTTTTCTTTAACTTTGCATGACAATTTTGTTTTTCCATTTCTTTGGTTCTCAGGGCCTTGTTTCCCCTAAAGAAATGAAACGGAAGGCAAACGTCCAGGTGAGTAACATCAACTGTCCTCTTAAAGACTTATCCGTGTTCCAGAGAATGCTAACACCTCCAGGAAACAGCAGGTTGAGGTATGTATACTGAAATGCATGTCTTACATAAATTCATATGTAAACACAGATCGACAATGATAAATATCCGATCGTCCACGTTTATGTGGAGTAATTGATGCAACAACATTATGTGATCACACAATTACGTAAAGAAAAGACAGTCTTGAGATCTTTTAGTGCGTTCAGTGGTCTTCAAGCCCAGCCAGCAGCAGGCTCACCTGGCGGAGCTTTCTCCTAACAAATTCCTGAGGCCCATTCGTGAAGTCAGATCCAGCAGGCACGGCTTGGGACCCAGAATTTTACAGGGTGTTTTCCCACAGAATTTGATATTCCAACCCCTCTGTCACACAGAGGAGGGCACCGAGTCCAGAGAAGTCAGGATGTCATCTACGGCTAACGGAGAAGCGGCAGAGGCGGGCCAGCCCCAGGCCACTTGCCCCCGGCCCACTGCTCTCTCTGCTCCACCACGCTGCCTCCCGGAGCTTCCCCACGCCTGGCCCCCTCCACCCAAGCTAAGCAACCACTAGTAGACTTTCTGTCACTAGGAGCAGGTGGCAAGCTGTCCGAGGGCAGGGACCCCGTCTCATATTCCTTCTGACACAGTTCCTGGTAATAAATGTCTAATAAATACTTGCTGGTTGGCAGTCACTCATCTCAGGTCTAATATTGTATTCACTGCTCACATCTTTGTCTACTGTCATCCAAGCAGAGGCAAAATTATTTATCTGGGTATCGAGATCCACCTGAGGGAGTAGTAACGCCTGGATTTATAAAGATGCCATGTCCAGACAACAGGAATTTGAATGACAATACAAGTTCCATAAGATTAATTACCATGTCTTCCCCTTGTTCCCAAATTATGTGAACTAGGTGAAAAAATAAATGAATCCAAGGGATAGAAAGAAGCCGTTTACCTATCACATTTGGCAAATATGAATTATAAAAATCCTAAGCTATTCTAAGGAGATAATCCTTAGCAATTGTAACAACTATATTTTCTTTGAGTTTTGTTACATTTCTCTTGGTTTTTCAACATGTTTTCCCAGTCTTACAAAACATTCTTTTGTGGGTGGAGTCACCTCCTTTATAAAGCTGATAGTGAGGGACGGAACACATGTAGCCCCTCCGCTATGACATGGCTGCTCCTCTCTCTCTCTCCCCCTATATCTATAAATTCACACACACACACACACACACACACACTTACACATGTGTATTTATTTGGAGGTGGGGGGACATGACTTGTTATATTTTCTACTTGTAGCTATGAATCATGAACCACATTATAAATAATTCTACCATATTGCCATCTTGACTGTAGACAGGACGTGGAAAAAAGATAACCAAAACATTTAAAAAGCCAACAGGAAAATAGCAAAGAATGTTTAAGGTTAAAAATTAAATAAATCAACAGGCGCATGGGGCACTGTTGCCACACAGCCCGGCCCCGTCTGTGCCCACTTGACACACGGGGCGGTGCTGCAGCAGGGACAAGGGGGTACTGCCCGGGGGGACCCAGGGACCACAGCTGGCCCTTGCACCCCTTACTGAGTGCTCCCTCCCCAGGCAACACGAGAAGCTCTCCTGAAGAAAATGTCCTTAGAGACAGTTTACGGAGGAGCCTGCGCACCCCGGGCAACACTGCACATGCGTCCAAACAAGTCTTCTTCAGGGTCAGCTGGGGAGGCTGGCAGGACGGACCTTCCTCAGCTTGTACCTTGTTTTAATTTTTACAGAAAAGGAACGGTCTTCTCTTCTTTTGCCCTTTAACTGTTAAATCCAGTCTTACCTAGATATAGATTCCTAATCATTCCTCTAGATCCTCTCTTAAAATCACACTGATGAGCTCATCCATCCACTTATTCATTCAAGACACATTTCTGAAGAGCTGACGGGACTTGTGGATGGGCAGAGCTGGAAGAGACCTTGGGCATCTTGCATCCCACGCCCCTCATTTCCTCGAGGGTGATGGAGGCAGGGCCCAGGGTTGGAGGAACCCTACAGCCCAGGGTTCCTCACCCCCAACCCCTTGATCTAGTCTCCATCTCACCACCCTACTTCATGCAAAATGTATGTACTTTTTCATTTCAAAAATGAAAAAACTACAAGATGAAAGAATTTTTGTACCTTATTGTTATTTATGAAGCTAATAAGTATTGCAAAACGGAATGACAGAACCAAAGGGTAAATGTGCCTTAAAAAAAATAATTGCAGGGTTGGTAAAGATTCTTTCCTTTTTTTTTAAATTAAATGTTTTATGAAGTCATATGCTATAGACATATGACAACTTTTCTGTCTTTCTGCATGATTAAGAAGTTTCCAAAAAGACAACAATGCCACAGAACAACACCGGGAGGACACACAGGCCACAGCACTGACATTTACAACCTACGCTTCTAGGCTACAACATCACTCGAGGTCTGGACACACTATGGAGATTAGCTAAGGAAACACCCATTTTCTATTTAACCAGAAGGAGGATGAAGCTGCTGCTAACATTTCAATAACATGTAAGATTCATAACTGTCATTATCTCAAGTGAAATCAGACTGAATTTAGTGGGGGGACGGACTGACTGATGAACTTAAGTTCTGGACAGTTCTATTCACAATAGTAGAGGTTCAGATACCCAACACATCTCTGCAGGGACATTTTAATGAATAATTCTATACACCAAATTTATCTTCTTGTGGACCATATATTTGGGTAGGAAGACATCATACTTCTCACCCCGCTCCTTTAATAAAACTTACTGTGCCCCTTTCCACAAAAGGGAGAGCTTCCAAAAAAACTGTTAGCTGACAGTTACTACTATGAATGAAGAGCTTCAACTGCTGTTTACTCTAATCCCCCAGGAAAATTACATCAAAAATGGATGTTTTATGACAAAATCACTCATTTATCTCAAAACCAGAACAAATAGAAAACAACACTATTCAGGGAGTTGAAGTACTTTTCTGAACACTACTGCAGAAACACAGAAACCCAGCAGATTGCAGACATGCAGGAGTCAGCACTGGATAGGAAAGAATTAACACATCACACTCAGTACAACTTTAATAACTGGATTGAAAGTAGACTCTTAATAAAACCAAAATATTCCTTCCTCAAGGCAACCATTAGCTACAAAGGAATAATGATTCATATCCTTGGTCCATAAAGAAGACGCATTTATTTACATTCTCAATGGACCAAAAGAGGTTTTAAACTGTCACAATTAAAATTTTATGCTTCCAAAAATATCATATCATAATGCATTTAACTTAAAGCTTCAGGTATTAATAACTTCATTTAGACTCCTTAAAAAACAAACACAAACATACTTTCTAGAGTGCAAAATGCTTCTTATTAAATACTCCAGTAACACAAAAGCAATTTGTTTTTAAACACAGGAATCCTTTTCTGAAGGATCACCCCACAGAGACATCCATTGCCGGCAATGGACGGGGAACAAGACTGCCAGCTCGGGGAAAACGCAACGTTAGAATTTTGCGCTGGGTTTCTGCGCCTATCCAGATGACCCCACTCATTTGTACAAACTCATTGTTGGACTCTGGTACATGCACATGTACGCGTCACAGAGAAGTCTTCGCGCACAGCCTTGGATTCTTCTGGAGTCCAAGGAATGCAGGTCTTCGAGAGACATTTTCAAGTACTCTCCTACTTCTGGGCACGGGGTAACTTGAGGAATGTTGAAGCCGTTCTGACCACCTACGAGAAAGAGGGAGAGCTATATTCAGGGCAGTCAAGTTCTAAACCCTGTGCTGCCCTGCCCCACCAAAGCAACTACAATTCTATAATTTAGTTTCTACTTTTGAGGATCTGAAAGACCTTATTTTACTTCTCATTTCTAGAAGCTAAAGCCTCTTTTTAACTTTTAACAGTTTTCTCACTTCTTGGTTTCTGAAAGGATTCTAGGGCCAATAGTGAATAAAACTGGTAAAAGGACACACACCCTGAGCAAAGTCCAAAACCTACTTTCCAGACTTCTGTCTCTGTTCACCTAGGGAAGAGTGTTACATAAACACACGCACACAACAGTCAACTCTTCACATTCCCACATCCCTTCCCAACGCAAGCACCCTGTACACTTCACCATGAGACTGTCCAGTTCAGAGCAGATCTAGTAAAATGAATACCATTTTACTTCCCTAAACTTTAAAAATGTATTTGTGCAACTCCCACAGGTTTTGTTTTACATATCACTAGACTGAATGAAGATGCTGCAGGGGTGGTTTTAGGGATTCCAGGAAAGGCTCTCTGCGTTGGCCTCCCAACAGCTTTTCCAAACATCTGAAACCCCTACGCTTTTGAGTCACACTGTTAATGCAAATCTAACGGAGGTAGGCATGCCTCTACAGGCGGGGCTGTGCTGTGCCCCTCAAGAGTCTGAGAGCTGAGAAAATGCTGAGAACCCTTGCTTGAGAGCTTGGGCCTCGGGTCAAGAGGCTGCCACAAGGGAGTGTCCTTGGGGGACTGGAGCTTGAGAGAAGGGCCAAAGGAAAAACGGGGCTATAGGAGAAGAACAGAGGAAGGCGAGGTCACACCTCCCAGCCTGGCCCGGGACGGGTCCTGATCTGTATGCGGCACACAGGCAGGCGTGGGGCTGCTGGACAGTCGTTTCCTCCCTGACACCTACTAGAGCACCTGCACTTCACACGCACTCATCACATATCTGTTACATAACGACTCAGTATTCCAGAAAATGGCCCAGAAGCTATAGTATATTCCCCATTTCAGGAAGAAACACATTACATGCAGAATAGGCTTATTTTACCAAAGAAGATATTTGCACCCCTTCTTAGCTTTGTCTTTGGGAAGACAACATGGTTTAGTATAAAAACATAAGCACTGAGGTCAGAAAGACTGCGTTAAATATCAGCTACATGACCTCAGGCACCTTAAACCTCAGCCTCAATAACAGGAAAACAGGGATAATTCCCCTCTTGCAAGGAAGGATTTGGGTATAATGACTTAATGTACTTCTCAGAGAGCTTGGCACACAGGCACTTAATAAATGGCGACTACGGCTTGTACAAAAAACGAGAGGAGCCTGAAAGTAAAAGACAAAGCCGACAATAAAGCCACTCAGCCCTAAAATACGAATTTTGGCACTTTTTTTAACAAAGGCCATATGCATGTCAACACACCACAACAATATTATTTCTCAGTTTGGTAGCAGGGCTGTTAATGCATTTCAAGATTTAAGACTGTGTCACCAAGATTCTCCTGAAAGGCTGTTCACACAAAGTACTTTATTACTCAGAACAGGCTATCCCACTCTGAACTGTCCCACTACAAACTAACAGGGCGCCACACAGAGAAGAAAGGTGTTTAAAATACCATCTCGATCAGCCATGCTGTCAAAGAAGAGCCAGGCAGAGTCGTCTTTCCCGTACTTCACAAAGGCAACATAGTGGCTTGTCTCGATGCAGAGAACAGCAAATAATTCCATCTTCTGGCAGGGAATGCAGCCGTGTCGCCAGTCCCAGTCAGGGAGATCTTTGGGAAGTGACACTGGGTTATATTTGTGATTCAGTCTCTTGGGATGAAGGTGGACCTAGAACGGAGGATGAAGAGAATGTCATTAATGAACCAAACAACGTTTCCAGTGAATGAACTCCACTTACTCTAACAGAATCCACCCTACAAACAGCAACCAAGTACTTCACAGAAGTCTATCACGTAAACAGAAGAGGCATAAACAATGCCATTTAGTTATGAATTTTTTAGACTTAATTATGATTTTGAAAACTTTTCAAAATCTTAAATCTGTTTTCAATGAAAAATAATTTCCTATTTAATAAGAGAGCATCCACTAAGTGAAGCCAGACTTACTTGGGTGTTGCAGGTCTTACAGAACTGCTTGATCTTCCCCGCAGAGATGTCGGGATCCTCATAGCACTCTCTGCACTCATACATGGCAAGGCCTCCACAGATTCGGCACTGCCTGGGGGCTAGAGGGCAGGGGTGCGAGGGAGTTAGAAGCCTTCACAAAATGCATTCTTTCATTAAAAAGATTAAAAAGAAAAGTTAAGCTTTAAAAAAGATAATGTTCATGGACTCAAAAAAGTCTATCCCTTCCCATCGCCATAAACTTTATGTTGGATTTCCTTGGATTCAGGATATCTTTAAAGACATTTTCTCTGACCAAACGACAATTTTTTAAAATAATATATTTAAGGGTGTTTCCTCCCGATTATATAATGTCTATTGATTAAAACTCAAAGATACAAGAAAGCATAAAGAAGAAAACTGAAAGCATCTACAATTTCAGTTAGCAAGAGAGAACCATGGTCAATACTACTGTGAATTTTCTCCAATACTTTTATATCTGCATATTTACAGAACCATGTGTGTGCACACGTGCACATGTGTGTGTAGCTCCTCTTGTGGAAAGTGTTAGCATCCTTACCTTTGTATTTAACATTACGTCATGACCACTCTCGTACACACTGGTCTTCAAAAACATGCATTTTAATGGCAGTAGTTTTGTTATATAGCCACATCACAATTCATTTAACTACTCTTCTCTTGTTAATACATAGATTGTTTCTAGTTTCTTAATCATGTAACAATAAACATATTTGCATACAAAATATTTATTTGCATGTCTGATTATTTTCTCAGAATAAATCCCTAGAACTGAAAGTACTAGCTTAACATTTCCAGGCTCTTCAGATGTTGAATTGCCTTTTAGAAGACTTGGCTCCTGTTAGACTCTTACTCACAATTAATGAGAATGACCTGACAGACTATTTCGGAAAAACAAACTAAAAAATCAGACAGTATACTTACTGTCAAGCAGTATACTTACTGTCTTCAAGTAAATCTGTTATATTTAATTCCAGAGAAGGAAAAATTTTTTTAAATAGTTTAAAGTCTTTTCCAAATCGAGGCATCTGAATAATCAGACAAGATGGTGCCTAAAAAAAAGATATATATTTTTAGAAAAAATGTGCTGAAAAAAATTTTCCCAATGAAACTAAAACAGGCCTGGCTGTCTCCAAACGGTGGTTTCCCCATAACATCGATGGCCTCTAAGACAGGATCCACGTGTGAATGTGGAGTGTGGAGGCACAAGTCTTCAAACAGTCCAAAACCTCAGGGACACAGACACACTCAGAGGTCAGCAGTCAACAGCCTTTGGTCTCTAATAAGTTGATGACTATCTAGAGTGACAGTCTACTTTGGGTTTATATTTAATAAAGGTTTTGGAAAAATTATTTTTGCAAGTATAATAAAGAAACTGTCGTCACTGAATGACACTATTCCTGAAATTTCAACAAATAAATAACTGTGGCTGTTAAGGTTTTACTAGAACATTCCTTCAGAAATGAATACAATAAAAATAAACCACAAGCATGTACTACTACTATCACGAAGACACTCAGTAAAAAGTAAAAGAAAAACCCTTTCCTTTTCCTTGAAATACTACTTAAAAGTTTTCAAGTTACCAATCAGTTTGCTATTTTCTTTGGCATCAAAAAACCAAAAAGTTCAATCTTAATTCTAAAGCATTTCTACAAGGACACATTTAAAACACCATATATTTTTAAATTTGTGTTTTGTTAACAGTTTGTGTTTCTAACTGTTCTCAGTGGGATAAAATTAATAGATACTGAGTAGTCTTAATAGTCATTAATAGTAGTCTTAAGAGTAGTCTTAAGAATACTAAGGACTTTTATGTAAAATACAATAAGTAATTATCACTAACCTCTGCAAATTTCAGGTTACTGTTGATAAAAGACCATTCTAACAACTGCTGAATTGTAGGAACCCCAACTTTCTCATTTTTTTCCATAAAAATTTGATAGAAGTAACAATCTTGCACTTTTTGACCTGCTGATCTAAAAACATGCAGAAAAAACACATATAATTTATTTATGAAATGCTTAAATCAAAATGTGACGTTGTTCCAGCAGTATTAGAGAACAGAAAAGCTATGAAATTGATGGTGCAACTATGGATAGTCAGAACAACAGGGGAAAGACAATAATTTAGATTAAATAATTAAACGTACTTGTGCATAAGACCTTAAAAATGATTTATTTTAGTTTTCATATTGAAAAATTCCCTTAGTGATCAGCATAAAAATAATGGAATAACATCCACAATCAACAAGCACTGTGTGAACAGTAATAACCAGAAGCTAAACTCACTTGCTCAACTTAACTGCCCAAATCTAGAGAGAAGCAAACTGTATTTAATGCTTGAAACAGGAAAACAAATTCCTATATGCCTGAATGGGACAGGCCCTTAGAGACCTTGAGACGGAACTTATCATTTCTAAAATGACGGTCCTGAGTTCTAGGGAAGGATAATCACTTCCCAGCAACTCAATAGCAGAGCAGGGTGTGGAACCCAGGTGTGCTAACAACCACTTACTACTCTTTCCACGACAGCCGCCCTTTAGACAGTCAGGTCACTCATTTACTCAACACAGACCAAGTAAGCGCCTACTTCTGCCAATCACGGTGTTAACCCTATATTGAACATTTTCCCTTCTAAATATTTAACTACAGAATGCCATTATTTTTAAGACTAACTCTACCAAAAGGACTGGTGATCTTTAAGTT